ATGTGGAGTGATTTTGGCATTTTCTACCATTGTGGATTTGATTCAAGCCATCCCTCTGGCAAATGTGTTGCCTGAGCAGCTGGATGCAGCAGTGCAGGCTTTTTATGCCAGTGTGAAAGCAGCACATTGGGAAGCCTGTGCTATTCCAAAATTTCATTGGTGCAGACACTTTGGCCAACATTTGATGAAATTTGGAGCACTTCCATCTTGCTTTGCACATGAGAGAAAACACAAGCATGCAAAGAAAATAGCAGAAAACTGCAACAATACAATTGCCTATGAGAAGAGTATAGTGGCAGATTTTTTGGGGCAAGACATCTTTGACTTGCAAGATCCTGACATTTTCTCCACCAAAGCCAGGCTGACCAAGAAAAGGAAATTGACCAAAAAGTTAGAAGCATTCTTGAAGGAGCATATTGCTTTCAATGAAGGTTGTGCAAGTAACACTGCTTACCTGGAGGTAGCAGGGCAGTGCAGCAAGAATGATGTGATTCTTGTGGCAACTGCTACAAGCCTTGCAGGTGGCATTGTGTGGGCTCATGTGGAGCTGGACACCTGTGTCTACACATTGGTTTCACAGTTGGAGTTGCAGTCTTATTCTAAGACATCCTTCTGTGCTACTTGGCAAAGGACAACAGCACTGGCATTGGTGCATACTTCCGACATTAAATGCTCAATGCTGTGGAGCAGTGCAGGCAACAACTCTATTGTGAGTTTGGTTCCTCATGTTGGCAGGCCTAAATAGGTCACACAACTGACAAGCAAAGCATGCAGAGAAAAGAAAAAGTGCAATGAGCAGTGTGTCAAGTTAATGGTTTAGGTTTGGTGTGAGACCAGGAACTGGAAGGTGATGCTGCCATGGCAAAAGATGTTGTCGACATTTTTGCTCATGTTGGGTTGGCAGGATGCATAGGACAGAGTGCAAGGTGCATGCAAAAAAGAAGACATGTTTTTGTTCAACAAACATTTTTTGTTTGAGTTGCCTGAGGGCTGCAGTTTGGCTCACATTTGTTGACACCTTGTTGTGCTTATTCTTGTGAAGCAGGAATGTTTTGCTAAAGGTTTGTCTTTTAAAAAAGTGGATGCAAATTGAAAAATGTTTGTTTTTTCATTACATGGTTATTTTTTGATAAATTTGGCAAGCTAACCACTTAGCTAACCCTTAGCTAACCCTTAGCTAAGTCCTTAGCTAACCCTCAGCTAAGTCCTTAGCTAAGTCCTAGCTAAGCCATTAGCAAGTGACTATGTTAACCACTTAGCTAAGCACTTAGTAACTAGGTTATAACTCAGATAGGAAGTTATTAAGTCTGTAGCTAAGTAGCATAACTTCTATAAGTTCTTAGTAACCCCGGGTTCTTCTATAAGTGCTGTCGGTCTCTCTTTTTTCGTCAGTCTGCTCCCTTCGAGCAATTCGAAAGGGTTGAATTGGAGGACGAGTTCAAAGCACCTTCTCTTCTTTTTTTCGGCCAAGAGTCATGGAATATTTGGTGGGTTTGACCTCAGAGTCGAAACTCTCATCAATGCGCCAATCGCCACTAACTTTGCCATGGACTCTAAGAGGGGGGGGGGCAGGGCGGACGAAAAATACGTAAACGATATTATTTTGGGGTGGACGAGACTGTGAGGCAGCATTTTGTGGGACTCGAGTTGCCACGACTCGCTCGTTCCAGAGTCGCGCAACCAAGAGGCAAAACGCATCAAAGGTACCGGGTCGCAGGGGCACGAAGAGTTCAAGCCACGAGTTGAATTGTTTGCGCGTGCTTGAATTGTAGTTCTTCAATTCCTGATATTTTGCTATGTCAACTTCGGGCATAAACAATCGATGCCCAGACGACAGGCACGCTGTATGATTTTGCTTACGCCAACGGTCCAGTACAAAAACATCTTGGCACAGAGATCTGTTGCCTCACTGGGACCTCCTCGCGAGATTGCGTGTGAACCTGGCTAGAGGCAATAACATTATATTTTATTTTTTTGGATTTACACGCCTTTGGATAAGCTCATTCTGCTGGTGCTGCAGCACTCCGGTTCTAAGGCGTAGGGTAACGACGGTTTCTCCTTGTTTCACAGTAGTTGTGGGGCATTGCACATCACATCCATCAACCAGCTACACACTGAGCGCAAGCTAGATGGCTTCCACTTGCCTTTCTGTGTCCTCCCTTGGCCAAGCTGTTCGGGAGCCACCGACGCAAGTAGAGTGTGTCCACTGACCTCCTCCTCGCCCGGGGAGGGGTGGCTACCTGCAGTATGCAATCGCTTTCTGAAAGAGAGTTCTATCAATCACAGGCTGCGCTGCTGAATCCTGTTGTCCGAAGGCTTGGAGCAATCGGGAACAATTCACAGTGGTTTTTCCCCATATGCCTGTTCACTTCTGCAGAGGAAAAGGTTGACTCGGCACCGTAATCATGCCTGCCTCGTTTGACTGCACAACGTCGTAAGCGTTGCTTTCGATGCTCTCCAAGCGCAATAGCCTGCACAGCGTTCTGATCTCAGGACGCTTTGCAGCATTGAAGGAAGGACGTCGAATGAAGATAGACAAAGCTTGCACTGTCCAGCAGTACTGAGAGGCCTTTGCTTAATTCGCAGCCCCATGTTTCACCCTTCACTCTTTTCTGGTCTACGGGACCTCCTTGAGCTACATGCCAGTTTGCTTCGTGGTCTGTTTGGGTTGTGTTGGTTGTGTTGTTTGGTGTTTGGTTTTTGGTGTTTTGCTTGTGGTTTTCTTCGGTTTCGCATCTTGGCTCGTAACTCTCTCTTAGCTAGCGCAAGATGACCTGTGCAATCTCTGCACACATGGCGTCTCCACCCGTGCAGGAAGAAAATTGTAGACTGTGTGCTCAGCAGTTGTCTATGGACGACCTGCGAGCAATTGTGACAGCCAGAGAAATGGCGGCAGTAGAAGCAAAGAAGGTAAAGAAGGCAGGTGCTGAAGAGGCCGGCCGCACACGGCATCGTTTTTGTTTGTGTGGTATGTTGCGGGGTCCAGCAGCAGGACAAAAAAAGCAAGGGTCCAGGATGCAAAGGCCGCGAAGGCGGAGGCCACCTTCCCACTGCAAACCTAAAAAGAAGAAAAGGTTGAGGTACGGGCCGATCTCAGCGCGCCTTCAGTGAGCAGTGCCTCTGCAAGACCGGCGCATAACGCGGACCAATCACAAGCATCTTGCTGCCGACCCCAATTGAAGACCCCAAAACCTGACCAAATCCTCGCTTCGTGGCGTGGGGCCTCCAGAGGACAAAGTTTCAGTTGGGTCGGAGTGAGGAACTTCCAAGAAAACACAAGGACCAACAGAAACCACTCACGGCGGCCCACCACAAGCATTGCAGCAAACAAACACGCAGCAAGCGCGCTGCCGCAATCAGACTGCTGAAAACAGCAGCTGACCATTGATCTGTGAGCTTGATTGTTTTCGACAACTTCTTGCTCCTTCAAGAGATGGAAAAAATATTTTCTGGACACCAGTTTGGGGTCCAAAACCACAGCAAAAACCGGTCTCACCACAGAGGGCCTCCCCAGATATGTTCGCAGGGTGTAGAGAACAAGTGCTCGCGGCGCTGCAAAGCCATGGAAGCCCAGCAGTGTGGAAAATTTCTGTCGTACCTGCCGAAACAATCGAAACGCTATTTTTCACTCGGTGACCAAAAATTTTTGCCGACAAAACGGCCCCCGTTTTGGGGTCCAGAAACGGACAACACTCGCACAAAAAAGAACAACACCTACAGAAAAACCATTGACAAAAACTTCAGACTCAGGCCAAGAAATAGAGAACTGTCTTTGAAGGGGCTCGAGTTGAAAATGGGTCAACTGAACAATAAATTTGAACTAGTGCCAGGAAGAGGTGAAGAAGATGTAGCAGATGCAGTAGTGAGAGAGAGAAAAATACAACACGATATGAACAGTTACTTGAAATTGGAGAAGAAAGAAGAGATCACTCAGATACAATGCCATCAGAAAACTCCAGGAACCCCGTTCTTGAGAGAGTGGACAACGCAACATGAGGATGATGAAAATAGAGTGAACCATGGTGACAGAGTGAGCTAAACTTAGCAATTCGATCGCTCACACTACCAAGAGGGAGTGTGAAACATTTTTTCAGGATAGAATAGTACATAGATGTACAGCATCATCAACATCTCATTGGTGCAGCGTGAGTTGACTGGAAACCCTTTTGTTCAAGAGAAAAGTTCGCAGTATACAGATGCCAAAAGCACAAAGTCAACATCGCGAGCAAGCCTCCACTTTCTTGCGTGCCTGCGGAGGGTGAGGGATCTGAAAGAAAGAGGACTCGACAAGACCAGCAGCGGTTGAAATGTCAATCCAATACAACGCAAGTCAAAGGCCAATCCCTGAAGGTCTAACTGTACTGAAATGACCGGAGTGCTGCAATGTACTCACGTCAGGTGATTGTTTCCATGTCACTTTCGCTGTGCATTATGCTCATATAAGCGTTAAGAGTCACTTGTTGAGCCAAATCAAAGGGCCACCGTGCAATTCAGCACACTGAAACACTCCGCATACTACACGTTTTGAACCAAGGAGCAACAAGGGCTTGACCGTGTGCGAGTGGAAGTGGGATGATATATGCAAATGATGTTGTCCCTAGGTGGGTCAATCTACATTATGTTGATTTCTGTTTAGATTTTTACGTGTTATCGATTCCTGTGATGGTTGTGTCATTGAATGTAGGTTGTTTTTTTTCTTTTGGTGTTCAAATCTTGCTTTGGATTTGCCGGTTTGGACATGTCACAGATGGAGATGGGTCATTGCTGGCCTTTCGGTTGTGGCAGTCAAGACATAGCGTTGAACAATGACCAATCATTTCTGCAGACTTGACACTTGAATCATACAAGTTCTTTTACAACACACCTATACTGTAAGAAAAAACCCTCAGATTGAAACCAGAACATGGGCATGGGTGAACTTCAGTGACACCAACAAATGCATGCGTGAATTGATTTTGGATCTGGATTTTGGAAGATTCAAAATATTGGAACAACAGAGACTCCTTCAAGAACTTTCGAGCGTAAGTCATGGATACTGGCGATGAACCAACCAGTGAGGCCAGACCGTTTGAGCAGCATCATTGTGCTGAAAATTGTAATCTGTATGTGGCAGTTCTGTTGTGTACCCTCCTAGATGGTTCACGAGAAATACCTGGGAACATTTTGCAGCAACTCCTCCTTTCTTGACGGATTCTTTCAGTGCCCGTCGAGGTTGAGCGAGTCGCTTTCCGAGCTTCGCTCTGATGTGTTGTCGTTGCTGTTGCCCGTTCCTGAGCAGATCCCAAAGACGGTCCACCCTTTTCAGACTGAAGTGGTCAATTTTTGGACCTTTGAAGTTGCCGAGTTGTGCAAGGGTTGAATGGAGGGAGACCATGAATGATGTGTTACTGTAAGCAGCAGCGCTACCAATGGATTTAGCAAGAGAGAGAGAGAGAGTACAACGAGAAACCAATCAATGCAGATGCCAACTATTGAACAACAGTTGCATCCAGCAGACTGAGAACCAGTCGCTTCTTCACTTTAGGCCGCGGAAAACCGCTCCGTCTGAGCAGTTCTGGGATAGGGGTCCTGTAGGTTTCACCATCCCCTATGTTTTCGGATGTCTTTTTCGCATCCGAACCTTTTTCTTCGCAGTTTCTGAGGTCTTTCTTGGAGGTGACATCTCTTTCAAGGACCTGCTCTTTGGACCATCTTCTGGGAAGGCCGGGACGTCCTTTCAGAACCGCCGAGTCCAGGGACGAGGGACGGGTCGACGAGTCTTCGATCTTTGGGGGGTTTGAGCTGCTATAGAAGTCGTCATCCTGAAGCTTGCTGACTTGATTTCTTCGTCTGACTTGGAGTTGTCAGTTGATGTCATTTTCTTTGGATCCAGCCTGTCTGGTTTCCCTACTGATCCAACCAAGCTGTTGATACTTTTTGCTTGGCTTGGTATCCTTGGCGTGCTAACCTGTGGTAGCTTTCGAGTGATTCGAGTATTTCCGGACCTGAAAAGTGTGTGAGACCTCCATCCACTCGTTCGCGACTCTCCCTGCACAGAGTCCTCTCTCGATCTCCGCTCTGCCAGGATCGCTGCATCTCACGAGCATTGGCCCGGCTTCCCAGACAGACCACCCGAGCCTTCGGATCCGACAGCTGGAGCCCCCTCAGAGGGTCTTCTGGAACCTGCGTGTGTGTCCACCGGCACGTTTCGGCCGGTGTCCACCGGTGGCTGGTTCGTGCAAGTTTCGCGGCAAGTTTTGGCTGAGGCGCTGGTTCGTGCTCCAGTCCTTTGGTGTTTACTATGACGATTACATGCGCTCGGTGGAGGCCCCTGACTCGGACTAAAAGTGTTGGCACAAAGAGGGGCCTTTGAGAAGAGTGAATCATCAGTGAAGGATCAGGGGTTGGAGGTTTTGCAAGCTGAGATCCAACGGAGTGTTTTCATGTTCACCAGAAACGTCCTCAACACCATGGGAATAGATACAGTATATCATATAGCTATGTCAACGCCTGCTAGTGTGGTGGTAAGAAGTAGTTCAGTCATCAGAGGGATGGCAACGATAAAGAAGGCGTTCAGGCCCAGGTGGTTCGATTGCGCTCTTGAGCGCACTGGACTCAGCGCAGCCGTTCGCTTTCGGAGAGGTCGCTGACGACTGCCGTTGGCGACGTCTGTTCATTTACATCCGCCAGGCCGGTCGCTGATGGGGGGCGTTTTGGTGATCTGATGGGTTTTGGTGACCTGATTCATGGTTATTGGATTCTTAGGCCTGGCCCTCACCCGTGGCAGATCTCCTTCGCAATGTAAAAAGTATTAAACAGTCGAGTTGGTAAAAACATCGTGCTCGACAATGTTCAGAGGGATGACGTGATAAACAAAGACAAAGAAGGGGGAAGCGAGTTGCTGAGGGAAGCGAGTTGCTGAGGTGCACCACAATGTCGACCAGCAGAAGGCTGCACAGCGCACAATGCCCGGCTTGTCGATGCCTTAGAGATGAAGTAACAACGCTGGAATTGCTGGGGAACTCCCCCAAAAAGCCCACCAGTTGATTGTCACTGAAGAGTCCTACGAACTGTCTCGAGTCTCATCTACGTCCTGAAGCTGGAGACGCTTGAATACTGTTGAGACCGCCCTTTTTGGACCTCCGGCCCATGGCCTCCACGTGGATCTGGCCACGACCTCCCCAACTCGCCGAGGCTTAAGCCCTGCACTTGGCTTGGAGAGGAGGGGGCACGCAGGGGGCACGCATCGGGGGGGGCGGGAGAAGAGTTCCAGTCCACCTTTCTGGAGACTTTCAGGTCCACATGGAACACATCCGTCTTTGAAGGGTGGACTCATCCCCTCTTTCCAGACTTGCGCACTTATCCTGTGATAGGCGGATTTGTGCCGCCTCTTTGTTTTCAAGATGAGAGGATGAGATCCTGCCAGCTCTGCTTGGAGCTTTGGGTGCCATGCTGCAATGAGCTCAAAGCCACACCAGCCGCCTCAAATGACATTGCCTATATACTCCTTCTGTTCAGGTCCTGAAGACTTGACCAGCCCTTCTCGACAAGTCCTTCCTGAAAGAGATGTGGAAACCAGTCTCCACCCAACAACCCCCCCCCTTTGGATTCACCAGTCCCACGACCCATTCACAAAAAGAAAAGACACATGCGAACGAAGCCATTCCAAACTTCTTCGTGGTTTTCAATCACCATCTCCTCTTCTTAGGAAGAACGTTCGACTCCATTCGACTCCCTTCGCTCCATCTTCGACTCGTCGCTGCCACTCGCCCCTCCCCCATGCCGCGGCTGCACGGTTTTCGCGGGGGCACGCCCCTCGGCGGCTGGGCGTCGCGCGTGGCGCTGCTGAGCCTGGTGGGACTGGGAAGCCTCCTGGTGCTGCCGGAGGACTGGCACTCTCAGGCGGCGAAAAAGGTCGTGGGACCGTGGGACCCTGGGATGGTTGTAGTTATCACACTTTCAGAGCTGGGGGCATCTCCTCTGAGCAATTTCATTTTGAGTGATTTAGATCCCAAACCGACTATTGGATGGAAGACGGTGTTCGGTTGGTTCACTCGGAGTCGTACTGTGTACCTTGCAGGCCGCAAAAGGCCGACCGCATTCCTTGAGACGAGTCTGGACCGGACCGTTGGACGTTCTTTCACGTTCCTGCTGCTCTGATGGGTGCTAAGAACGAAACGCACGACTTCGCTTTCTGAGCCGAAAGCCGAAAGCCGAGAGCGAGCGATCGCACGACCGCGCGACCGAGAGCTCGACGAAATCAGGGAACTGCAAGCTCCAGATCGTTGCAGGCGAGAGTTCTGAAGAGGGAGAGAGAGTTCTGAAGAGGGAGCAAAAGGAGGAGATGCTGAGTTATAACAGGCATTACCTCAGTCATGTCAGCTGTGGGCAGCGGGGCATGCAACAGGATCTCTTCTATCAACAGAAGGCAGATTTGAGATGTTCACCACGCAAAAAGGAATGGTGATTTGGAGCATCCTTTTGTAGTTGGGACGTTCATATCACTTTGGGAACAACTTGGCTTGTTTCCCGTGTTTGTAGGACCCTCCAGCACCAGAGGGTGGTCTGAACATGTCTGAACTAGGAGCTTGTGATAGGAAGAAGTGGGCTGCGCTGCGCCAATCCTGCGGTTGGGCTCCTCACAAATCCCGGAAAAGAGACTTGTGGATGCTTTAGGGCCCTGTTTGGCTTGTCTTGGCTGTAAATACAGACTTGGCAGTGGGTCCTCAAAACCATTTGGCAATGTTGATATCCCTGCTCTGGTGACCCTCAGCCAATCCTCCGCTGTCCCTGTGAGCAAACTTGGTCAGGTTCTGAGCCAGGAGGAGGATGACGAAGCGATCAAGACCGGGCCCTTTGCGGAGCTGATGCGCCCCCATGAGATGCAGCCCATCTGGTTGCTGCCCTTGAGCAATGGCATCAAGCAGCTCCTGACCTTCTTTGTTTTTGGCTTTGACTTCAAGACCAAGTTCAAGACCGGCAGCGCAAGGATGAAGATCTTGAGCTTTTGCGCTGGCTTCGTCGCCAAGTTGGCCTTTATCTTTCTGTCCCTGAACTCCTACGTCAGTGATTTTCGGAAGTTTCAGAGTCGTAAGGCAAATAACTTGGACAACCTTTGGCAAAGTGCCTTGATTTTCTTGGCCATTTGGTGCACCTCGCACAACTTCTCCGCAGCCTTGGGTTTGTGGGGCTCGTTCACCATCCAATCTCCTGCAGTGATCTTTGAGGATGATATCGACAGGCCCAGATATTTGCCAGCCTCCGCCTGTTGGGGTTTTGGTGCGGTGGAGTTCCCCTTCTTCATTGGAGGCGCCCGCTGGCTTCAATTCCCCAAGCAGATCTATGCGTTGCTCCTCCTTCCCTATGTGATCCCCTACATGCTGTTGAGCTATGGCACGGCCATTCTTCTGGTCGCCTGGTCGATTCTCTTCACCAAGTGTTGGTGCACCTGAGCTGCGCTTTCTGATTAAACCTGGGTGGCCTGGGTGAAGTCCAACTTGTGATGCTCAGGTCCTCCATGTGATGCTCATTCTTTGCAAGGAGCGACCTAATCTAATCCATATATATATATATATATATACATCTAGATATATAGATGGCTCTCATCAGATGCTGATCCACTTATCTTCTCCCGAAGAACTGGTCCCAACAGACCCTCCCTACACAGTCTCCGAACGTCTCCGAACCTCTCCGGACGACCGGCTCCGAACGGAGCGGCGGAGCGAAGCGCCCCAGGCGTCATGAAGCTGGCGTGGCTGGTGGCCGCGGCCGTGACGTGTAGCGTCATGTACCTCTTCGGGTCCAACCAGACAGGCGGACGTGGCGGGAGGACGCATGTCTCAGGAAGCCAAAAAGGGAAGATGTGGTCTTCAGTCAATCACGGGTCTATGGTGATGTGGTCTATTTCCCCGGATAAAGTCGAGTTCCGCAACTGCGCAGGATTCCGCAACTAGGATTCCGCAACTGTTTGGTCGGATTCCGCAACTGGGATTCCGCAACTGGGATTCCGAAACTAGGATTCCGCAACTAGGATTCCGCAACTAGAATTCCGCAACTAGGATTCCGCAACTAGGATTCCGAAACTAGGATTCCGCAACTGTCAAGATTCCGCAACTAGGATTCCGCAACTAGGATTCTGCAACTGGGATTCCGCAACTGGCGTTCCGCAACTAGGATTCCGCAACGTTGTGGACTCCCTCACTAGGATTCCGCAACTTTGTGAATGATGAGGGACACGATGGGGACAAGGGGGGGGTGGGGGGGGC